TAAGCAAGGAAAGTTAATAAGAATTGTTTATAAAGTTGGATCGTTCTTAAATTGGTCATATAATGAATTAAGGTTGCATTCTTTGTTCAAAATTTGAATAATGAATCTATTTTTACCATGATTTTATCATTACGTATAATAGATATATAACATGAACAAATCTTAATTAGTAATCGTAGTTTTGAATTTCTAATAATGTTAGCATTAATGAGAACACTAATACGTATACTATATGAGTAATGCCAAGGAAAAACTTGTCATCATATTTATAAAAATTTTGTGACAGGATTTCCGTCAATAGACCCTTATTCCTTTGGCAAATGCATGAACTATAATTGGTATGCAATATAACTTTGAAAAATTAAAATCCGATTGTTTGTTTTCTATCGAAAAGTGGAAATTGAACCCGCTTACCCATTCAGACAAATAGTTAAGACCAAGTAATTAAAATAAAATAATTATTATCGTGCAAGAACTTATGATTTAATAGTACAACAAATTAAAAACTTAAATATTGTCAATAGCGGATAACCAGATAACCTAAATGATTAGTCAATTCGGATTATCCGGCAGTTTAGATAAACAGATTCCATGTTTATTTTAAAAAGGTAATGATTTCTTTTTACCAATCCCCAATGTGCTATTTTCTCAATATAGTAATTGTTTTGGTAATTGGTTTTGATCACGGTAAGATACGACATACTGGTACGTGCTAATACTTCAGTTAATAACAAATAAAAACCGACATCTGTCAACATTTTGACGATAAAAATAAATCTTATCGTTATGGGAATTTGTTATAGTAAAATAAAAAAAAAGTTACTTCTTCCTAATCCTAAAGTAGTAGCATCATTATCTAAAGATTCATCAAACTTGTCTATTTCTGATCAATATCAGTTTGTTAATGAGAGAAAGTATTATGATATAAAAGATTCTGTATATTTTTTACCTAACGATTATGAAGAATGCGATAGATTACATTTACTGCATTATATAGAAAGGTGTATTTGGCAGAGTATCTTTTTTTCTCCAATTGAAGATCTCCTTAATCAGAATGGAACGAAGGTTCTAAATGTAGGGTAGGCGATTTATTTCCTTTACAATTGCAAATAATAATTATTATCGTATTATTAATTATTATTATTGATTGTCATTTTAATTATTAGAACAGGTTCTGGTTCTTGGCTACTTGAAATGGCAAATAAATATTCGAAACCTAAATTTATCGGAATTGATATTTCTCCAGTTCAAACTGATGAAAATAAACCACTTAATGCTGAATTTATTCAAGCAAATGTGTTAGAACGTTTACCTTTTGAAGATAATACGTTCGACTTTATATTTCAACGTTTTTTGTTAAGCGGAATTCCTGTAAACAAATGGGTATCAATGATTAATGAATTAGTTCGCGTATTAAAACCTGGTGGTTACCTAGAGGTTTGTATTATTTTATCTTAATATTTATTAATAAAAAAAAAGATATCCATTACAATATTTCTTTTCAGTTAGTAGAAAATGATTTTCAATATATCGTAATGGGTCCAGCTAC